CCCCCCCCTGGGGAATTAATCCATTCCCAAGGTATAAATATGAACCATAGCCATTGTAAGGGGGGGAGTATAGAATGGTCAAAAAGAGGTCTATAGAAAATGATGAAAATATCTGCCAAGTTTTGAAATCTCAGCATTGAAAAATAAGAGTCTTAGAGTCTTGGGTTTACTAGAAGTTGAACCATCTTTAAAAAAGGAAATCATAGACTTCAAGGCAAGTGTATGCACAAACCATTTAAATGCAAATTTAACACATGTATTCTGATTAGCCAATTTACCCGTCACACTTATTATTATCAGTAAATGGTGTCTGCTTACCATTTGAAGATAAGATTTTAATATTTCCTATGCTCATTAATGTAGTGAAGCTGATGATGAATTCTTGTGGAAACATCCCTGTTGTTGGCCAGAATGTGTCAAGACTTCTGTAAAACAAAAAACACAGACACATAACAGTATTTTAGGTTTGGTATCAAGGGCAAAAAAGCTCACATGTAAACCTCCGGTCAGCATTGTGTAGAATGTAGACATTTCTGGCATGCTCAAGCCTACTGTATCCCCAGCACTATAAGCTGACATCGCTGGCACGTGCTGGATCAAATTAGGCAAAATGAGCGGAAAATAGCACCACTAAATAGTGAAAAATCAAAGCTTGGGGAAGCCGCTGAGAGACTTAACAGACAACGTCACAGCAAGAGGTTGACCCCAGTTTGTTAAAATTACAACAACAATCAAGCCACCAAATGAAAGGAAGGGTGGGTGGGAGTTACAATTTAGAGGACTAAACAATACATACAGTTAGTGATAAAGCTAGCGAATGATGCTAAAGTTCAAGCTAGAACTCTTTATAGCCAGACAGCTGTCTGGGTTTAGCCCAATGGTGAATTATGTACCATAGAAAGTAAAGATCTCATGCAGCTCTGAACGAGACGTGAATGGAGATTTCTAAAAAGACTAGTGGCCAATTACAAAATATGTGATATATCAGTGTACTAGACAGTGTTATGGCCTTATACGTAGGTGTCCTGCTGGGTACGATGAGGAATGAGATGAGACTAGACAGTGTTACAACATGTATCCATGAAAGACTAAGTGTTCATTGTTTCTTTGAGACAAGACAAAAGAATCAGTGTTTTTACATATACAGTGTAACCTACACTTCCTCCAGGGACCATGGGGTTAAGTTACAAGTAAGTAAGTAGTCATCACAATAGGAGATTATTTGTACAATATCTTCTTATAACCTTTAATTTAATTTGATATCGGGTTACAGTACACAAGCTTTTTGAATGTAGAAGACCTTGAACCCTAAACCAAGATATAAATACATGTAAGTTGGTACATGTAGCTACATGGTATAGAATTTCTTTACTAACTAATAGCTGCCAACTTTTTACAAAATCAGTTGAACCTTGGTATTTTGACCTCTCAGGGGGCATGAAAAATAGTTCAAAAAATTTGATAGTCAGGGCTTCTGATATTCTACGATGGAAGGATTTCACAGAATCGACCTAATAGCGCAACACATCACGTAATTCACAAAAAGTTACAAAATTCCCACAAAATCGCACAATTTAAGGAAAATAGAGGAAATCTTTGCTTTACCTTATGTTCTTTGACAATTTAAACATTATTTCAAGGTGACCTTTCAAAAGACCTCAGAAGCCTTCTGCAAGCGTTCGTTCAACAAAAGAACAAAAAAAGAGGTGTTCTGTACAGTTTTGCATGTCGGGACCTAAATGCCAACTGTAGTTGGCATAAGGACAACTTGATTTACACAACAAAGGCAGTGAGGTCTGTATCAAAACAAGGTAACCTCCAGCCTCACTGCCATTTAGAGGCCAGCTCACTGAACATACAACTGTAAAATGGTCTATTGGGCATCTCCAATCTCAACATTTTAAAATGAGGCAACAGATGATAAAATTTCAGATGCTTTTATCATTCCTAAAGTTACGTGCTAATAGGGTCTTGGACAGCAAGAAAATGGGTTGTGCTCCTCTGAGAACTAATAAAAAAAGATTAAATTAGCTAAAAAGACATTACATAATTTACTGCATAATAGACCTTTCTTGCCGCATAATGTGCCTTGAAAAATCTGCATGATTTCCTACTAATTTTGGCTGAAACCCTGGATAGTAAATGGCTGAATGGAAAATCCAAGGGAAATGGTTTTGAGTTAAAAATAACGCGGAATTTGAAAGAACCAAGATTGAATTAGCAGGGTCCAACTGTAACTGTATTGAACTGCATTTGATTTTCACTTTGAACCACCCTCAGCTGGTAAGGAATAAGCCTGTAGCTATGCAACTATGCTCGACATACATGTACAGTATGACAAAATGTCCAGAGCTATCTGCATCTCAGAGAATAAGGATCGTGAGGGCCCTCAAAGTATAATAATCATGGTTGCCAGGACAACAGTATGAAAGGTTATCACTGCAAATTTAATACGACTTTGATAACTCGATGTGCCATTTTTTTTAAGATTTCAACGCATCCCAAACGACAAACATAGAGAACCAACAAGTGAGAGGGTGTTTATCAAATTAATTCTAATTATCATCGAGTCAGCAAATTTCTCAACAAAGCTAGGCTCACAAGAACTGATGTAAGCTTATGTGTGTTGCATTGTAAATCACTCACCCATCTATGATGTTTTCTGGCGGATAATTTTCATCAAACGATGTTGCAAGAGCGATAGTTGCTCCAGCACTACTCAGAGCAACATCAAACATATTTGCAGGACAGCTTTCTGACGGGAAACTGGCTCCAAAATTGCAAATATCAAAACATGTCAAAATTTCTCCACGGACAAATGGCACTGGAGCGAGTGACGGAGCGAGTACAACTCACTGAATATGCGCAAATGAAAAAAACGCTGGCAGATTGCAAGCTCATTTTCAAGATGGCGGATCCGGGTGACAAACATATGGGTATGTTTCCTTTAACTACGAGACAGTTCTCTGCTACATTCCTTGATTTTCAGCGTAATAGTCGCGGCTATAACGACAAAGTAGAATCTGCAGACCAAGATGTAACTAAGAGGCTTCTAAATCCGTTTCTTCCCGAATTCGAAGTCTTTCCTATACCACAATGTCACCGTTTTGGGAAGGCAATGTGGGCTTTTGCAAAACAGTGCACTGCAATACAGCGTCAGTCAACAAATCAGAACACTGACCTGACTCTACCTCCTTGTCGTTTAAATTCGGAAGAAGATTTGCAAGTCACTCCGTCAAGAGTCGATGAACCTCCACGGTCTTCAGAACTTCCGCACGAACCGACACCTACATCATGTAACATACCCGAACTAAATGAGCAACCAAATGTAGAAGAGCTGTGTACTGGGCCTTTAAAGAGTAATTTCACTGACACTGCAGCATGGAATGGAGCCTCAAAAATAAGAACAACTTCCAATGGAACTGATCAAAATAAAAACACAGTTATCTCTGAATTCCCAATGTCACAAAATTCAGATTTTCATCTGTTAGATTGTTTACAACAGCAATTTAGAGGTAGCTGTAAAGAAGTATTTTATGAAGCTCATGTGGACGACAAATTAAGTACATCTGAGGCAGTATCTAACAGGAGTTCTTCACATTTTGAGAACTACGTTGAACTGGGTAATTTGGAACCTAGAATAACATTGAGCACAGACTGTCATCCAGAGAATGACTACGAAAAGAGGGTTGATATTCATGGTGGTTCAGAAAGCAAACACGATGATTTGCTTTCTGGTGATGAAAAGTGTGTGAAGACCAAGAAAAATGTCAAAACTGAAGAATGTGTGGCCTCTATGCTTGAGAATAAGGATGTTACAAAAGACCAAAATCTATGTGATGCTATGATTAGTGAAAAACAGAATACTGTGATGTTGGACGAATCTCTTCACAAGAAGAGTCACATCATGCCATTACCTTTGTATAAGAAAGGAAATCATAGCAACATCCCGATTTCAAAATCTCTGACTATAAATCTTAACTTAGATGCTCTGTTGTCAGTTCTTCACAGTGAAAAGAAAACTGTAAAGTATGCTGAACATGACGGCAGCATTTATGGGAAAGTTGCTGTTTTATATGGCTTCCAACAGAATACATCAGTGTCAGTACTTCAAGCAGAGATGGTAGGCTGGTATGACTACATTTCAGGAACTGTGAATGGATTACAACAAGGTCTCTGTCATGATAATACTGGATCTCAGGTAGAAAACAATACCTTGCAGGTAAAGCAATAAATGAAAGATGTTCTTACCCTGGGTTGGAGGTTACATGTAGGGATGCTCGTCAGAAAAATTGAATTAAACCCCTAAAGGAGACCAATCTAGGTATGGCTTGAGCTTTATTTGACCCCAAAGAGATACCACTTAAAACGGAATAGGCTCGCTTACAAACTGCTGTTCAGGAATGGAGCCTGTGCCAGTAGACTGGACTCGAGAGAGCTGCAGAAATCGANTTTGTTGAAAAGGATGTCCCACTAGTTGAGGTGTATGAGCTTTGCACCAGCAGAGATATTAATCTTGTAAACTTTGATTTAAACTGATCTTTATCGTGTATGTCGATTTTCTTTATGATCTATAAGAAATCTTAAAAAGGGATTGGAAATTTTGGATGTGTGTTCACAAGCTGCCTTCAAACTGAATAACGCTCTTTTTTGATGGTTTAACTCTGTACTTAAACTGCTGTAGCAAGCATCACATCTATTTTCTAGCCTGCATAGCAAGCGTTCAGTACAAAACATCGATGGAGACGATTTTGTGCCCATCAAGTTTTGCTCTCGCCCCAATCTTCTCGCAGCCAGAATGTGGAAAAAGTTTCATCTACGCCGTCAAAAATTTAATGTATAAAGTATTTAACACATTTGGTAGGTCTCAATACATGCTCTATCAGGGCGGTTTCTATACAAGTTGGTTTTTTTCCATACAACTATGATTAATAACATGGTTACATGCATGTAAAGAAACACTTAACACTGACAGATACATAATGTAGCTCATGGGACCCAAGTCTTAACGGCCTAGTTTACAGTTCCCTTCTTAGTGGTCACACCTTTAAATAGAAGCTAGGCAAGAGCACAGGCAACCCAAGCTCATGATGCGAGGAATTATTACTTTTTTTATCTTTGTGCGAACGTTCAGCGAAACGTGACATTACAGCTGACATATACTATAACATAACGACCGTAACGTGACTCTCGCCTTGCAGCATATGGAGGTGTTGTGTTACAACGGTTTGAATTTATAAAGGTTTGTATGGAGAAAAACGGTAATTCACATTATAGCCGAAATTGTGATATTTTGACAATAAAGTTGACCGAAATCGATGCTTTGTTGTCTTTCCTATTGTTATCTCGCTTCTCAGCTCGATCCGAAGCCTTTTAAGCGAGTTATGGATTTTTGGTTTTCCACTCCTAAGAAGAAGTAAAGGCTAAACACTCAATTCTGGACTGCCTG